ATAGGCAGGCAGATAGACAGACAGGCAGACAGACAGACAGACAGACAGTCAGACAGACAGGAAGGCAGATAGACAGACAGAAAGACAGTCAGACAGACAGACAGTCAGACAGACAGGCAGGCAGATAGACAGACAGGCAATCAGACAGATGGGCAGGTAGTCAGACAGACAGACAGACAGTCAGTCAGACAGACAGACAGGCAGTCAGATAGACAGGCAGGCAGTCAGACAGACAGGCAGTCAGACAGACAGACAGGCAATCAGACAGATGGGCAGGCAGTTAGACAGACAGATAGGCAGTCAGTCAGAGAGGCAGGCAGTCAGAGAGGCAGGCAGTCAGACAGACAGACAGACAGGCACTCAAACAGACAGGCAGGCAGTCAGATAGACAGGGAGGCAGTCAGATAGACAGGCAGTCAGACAGACAGACAGGCAATCAGACAGATGGGCAGGCGGTTAGACAGACAGAAAGGCAATCACACAGACGGGCAGGCAGTTAGACAGACAGACAGGCAGTCAGACAGACAGACAGACAGGCAGTCAGACAGACAGACAGGAAGTCAAACTGACAGGCAGGCAGTCAGACAGAAAGGCAGTCAGACAGACGGACAGGTAGTCAGACAGACAGGCAGGCAGTCAAACAGACAGACAGACAGGCAGTCCGACAGACAGACAGGCAGTCAGATAGACAGGCAGGCAGTCAGACAGACAGGCAGTCAGACAGACAGACAGGCAATCAGATAGATGGGCAGGCAGTTAGACAGACAGACAAGCAGTCAGACAGACGGACAGGCAGTCAGACAGAAAGACAGGCAGTCAGACAGACAGACAGACAGGCAGTCAGACAGACAGACAGGCACTCAAACAGACAGGCAGGCAGTCAGATAGACAGGCAGTCAGACAGACGGACAGGTAGTCAGACAGACAGGCAGGCAGGCAAACAGTCAGGCAGTCAGACAGACAGTCAGACAGACAGGCAGTCAGACAGACAGGCAGGCAGTCAGACAGACAGGCAGTCAGACAGATAGACAGGCAGTCAGACAGACAGGCAGGCAGTCAGACAGACAGGCAGTCAGACAGACAGACAGGCAGTCAGACAGACGGACAGGCAGTCAGACAGACAGACAGGCAGTCAGACAGACGGACAGGCAGTCAGACAGACAGACAGGCAGTCAGACAGACAGACAGACAGACAGGCAGACAGACAGACACACAGGCAGTCAGACAGACAGATAGACAGGCAGTCAGACAGACAGACAGGCAGTCAGACAGACAAGCAGTCAGACAGACAGACAGGCAGTCAGACAGACAAGCAGTCTGACAGACAGACAAGCAGTCAGACAGACTGGCAGGCAGTCAGACAGACAGACAGGCAGTCAGACAGACAGACAGACAGGCAGTCAGACAGACAGGCAGGCAGTCAGACAGACAGACAGGCAGTCAGACAGACAAGCAGTCAGACAGACAGACAGGCAGTCAGACAGACAAGCAGTCAGACAGACAGGCAAGCAGTCAGACAGACACACAGGCAGTCAGACAGACTGGCAGGCAGTCAGACAGACAGACAGGCAGTCAGACAGACAGGCAGGCAGTCAGACATACAGACAGGCAGTCAGACAGACAGACAGATAGGCAGTCAGTCAGAGAGGCAGGCAGTCAGACAGACAGACAGACAGGCAGTCAGACAGACAGACAGGCAGTCAGATAGACAGGGAGGCAGTCAGACAGACTGGCAGTCAGACAGACAGACAGGCAATCAGACAGATGGGCAGGCAGTTAGACAGACAGAAAGGCAATCACACAGACGGGCAGGCAGTTAGACAGACAGACAGGCAGTCAGACAGACAGACAGACAGGCAGACAGACAGACAGAAAGTCAAACAGACAGGAAGGCAGTCAGACAGAAAGGCAGTCAGACAGACAGACAGGTAGTCAGACAGACAGGCAGGCAGTCAAACAGACAGACAGACAGGCAGTCCGACAGACAGACAGGCAGTCAGATAGACAGTCAGGCAGTCAGACAGACAGGCAGTCAGACAGACAGACAGGCAGACAGTCAGACAAACAGGCAGTCAGACAGACAGGCAGGCAATGAGACAGACGGGCAGGCAGTTAAACAGACAGACAGGCAGTCAGACAGACGGACAGGCAGTCAGACAGACAGACAGGCAGTCAGACAGACAGACAGACAGACAGGCAGTCAGACAGACAGACAGGCAGTCAGACAGACGGACAGGCAGTCAGACAGACAGACAGGCAGTCAGACAGACAGACGAACAGGCAGTCAGGCAGACAGACAGGCAGTCATACAGAAAGGCAGGCAGTCAGACAGACAAGCAGTCAGACAGACAGACAGGCAGTCAGACAGACAAGCAGTCAGACAGACAGACAAGAAGTCAGACAGACACACAGGCAGTCAGACAGACTGGCAGGCAGTCAGATAGACAGACAGGCAGTCAGACAGACAGGCAGGCAGACAGACGGACAGGAAGTCAGACAGACAGACAGGCAGTCAGAAAGACAGACAGACAGGCAGTCAGACAGACAGGCAGGCAGTCAGACAGACAGACAGACAGGCGGTCAGACAGACAGACAGGCAGTAAGACAGACGGACAGGCAGTCAGTCAGACAGACAGGCAGTCAGACAGACAGATGGACAGGCAGTCAGACAGACAGACAGGCAGTCAGACAGACGGACAGGCAGTCAGACAGACAAGCAGTCAGACAGACAGACAGGAAGTCAGGCAGACAAGCAGTCAGACAGACAGACAAGCAGTCAGACAGACAAGCAGTCAAACAGACAGACAAGCAGTCAGACAGACACACAGGCAGCCAGACAGACTGGCAGGCAGTCAGACAGACAGACAGGCAGTCAAACAGACGGGCAGGCAGTCGGACAGACAGGCAGTCAGAAAGACAGACAGGCAATCAGACAGACGGGCAGGCAGTTAGACAGACAGACAGGCAGTCAGACAGATGGACAGGCAGTCAGACAGACAGACAGGCAGTCAGACAAGCAGACAGACAGGCAGTCAGACAGACAGACAGACAAGCAGTCAGACAGACAGACCGGCAGTCAAACAGACAGGCAGGCAGTCAGACAGACAGGCAGTCAGACAGACAGATAGGCAATCAGACAGACGGGCAGGCAGTTAGACAGTCAGACAGGCAGTCAGGCAGACGGACAGGCAGTCAGACAGACAGACAGGCAGTCAGACAGACAGACAGACAGGCGGTCAGACAGACAGACAGGCAGTCAGACAGACAGGCAGGCAGTCAGACAGACAGTTAGTCAGACAGACAGACAGGCAATAAGACAGATGGGCAGGCAGTTAGACAGACAGACAGGCAGTCAGACAGAAGGTACACTCGTATCCTTTGTCTCCTTTTTAACATCCTACACAGCCCAAACTTCCCTACATACCTCCGAAATCGATTTACCTTTCTTAAATCCCCAGATACTGTTTGTAGATCACACCTTAAAACTCTCTTAAAATTCCAATCCTTTAATACTCATTCATATTCCCGTTCATTCTCCGTACAAGCAGTTAGACTCTGGATTTCGCTTCCTACTGATATTCGAGAAATCAAAACACTGACATTATTCAAAAAACGAGTGAAAGAACATTATTTATCGCTGTCTTCTGTGTAAGTCTCAAATCTGTGATATGTACTATACTGTTACAAATATGTGCATGTACATATATGTATGTATGTGTGTCTGTATATATGTTTATATATTTAATTATGACTTTATATTATATTTAGTATTTATGTATGTATTAATGTTTGTTTAAATATGAATATATTCATGTATTTGTATGTATATGTGTATATATATATATATATATATATCATATATATATATATATATATATGTATACATATATATATAAGTATTTGAGTTGACTTATATATTTATCTTATACCCATATGTGTAGTAAAATAACAAAGTGCACACCTTATAATCATTTAGTAATCATATGTGTTTGAAACTGGCCTACTGGAAGAAATTTCATTGTGAGATAAGTAGAGCCTTTGTACAAACTTTTTATTATGATGTGTCCTCTCCCTAACTTGTGTGTACATAAATTGTGAAATAAATAAAATAAATAAAATGGTTAGGGAGTCAGACAGACAGACATGCAGTCAGATAGACAGACAGACAGGCAGTCAGACAGACAGGCAGGCAGTTAGACAGACAGGCAGTCAGACAGACAGGCAGGCAGTCAGACAGACAAGCAGTCAGACAGACAGACAGGCAGTCAGACAGAAAAGTAGTCAACAGACAGACAGGCAGTCAGACAGACGGACAGGCAGTCAGACAGACAGACAGGCAGTCAGACAGCCACACAGACAGGCAGTCAGACAGACAGACAGGCAGTCAGACAGACATACAGACAGGCAGTCAGACAGACAGTCAGCCAGACAGGCAGTCAGACAGGTAGTCAGATAGACAAGTAGTCAGATAGACAGACAGGCAGACAGACAAACGGATAAGCAGTCGGACAGACAGACAGACAGTCAGACAGGCAGACAGGCAGTTAGACAGACAGACAGACAGGCAGCCAGACTGACAGACAGGAAGTCAGACAGACAGGCAGACAGGCAGTCAGAAAGACAGGCAGGCAGTCAGACAGACAAGCAGTCAAACAGATAGACAGACAGTCAGACATACAGACAGGCAGGCAGTCAGACAGACAGACAGGCAGTCAGGCAGTCAGACTGACAGGCAGTCATACAGACAGACAGTCAGACAGGCAGTCAGACATACAGGCAGGCAGTCAGACAGACAGGCAGGCAGTCAGACAGATAGGCAGGCAGTCAGACAGACGGACAGGCAGTCAGACAGACAGGCAGGCAGTCAGACAGATAGGCAGTCAGACAGATAGACAGGCAGTCAGACAGACAAGCAGTCAGACAGACAGACAGGCAGTCAGACAGACAGGCAGGCAGTCAGACAGACAGGCAGTCAGACAGAAAGACAGGCAGTCAGACAGATGGACAGGCAGTCAGACGGACAGACATGCAGTCAGAAAGACAGACAGACAGGCAGTCAGACAGACAGACAGGCAGTAAAACAGATAGGCAGGCAGTCAGACAGACAGGCAGTCAGACAGACAGGCAGTCCGACAGACAGACAGGCAATCAGACGGATGGGCAGGCAGTTAGACAGACAGGCAGGCAGTCAGACAGATGGACAGGCAGACATGCAGTCAGACAGACAGACAGACAGGCAGTCAGACAGACAGACAGGCAGTCAGACAGACAGACAGGCAGTCAGACAGACAGACAGACAGACAGGCAGTCAGACAGACAGACAGGCAGTCAGACAGACGGACAGGCAGTCAGACAGACAGACAGGCAGTCAGACAGACAGACAGACAGGCAGTCAGACAGACAGACAGGCAGTCAGAAAGACAGGCAGGCAGACAGACATACAGAATGGCTATCAGACAGACGGGCAGGTAGTCAGACAGACAGACAGGCAGTCAGACAGACAGGCAGGCAGTCAGACAGACAGACAGACAGGCAGTCAGACAGACAGGCAGGCAGTCAGACAGACAAGTAGTCAACAGACAGACAGGCAGTCAGACAGGCAGGCAGTCAGACAGACAGACAGGCAATCAGACAGATGGGCAGGCAGTTAGACAGACAGACAGGCAGTCAGACAGATGGACAGGCAGTCAGACAGACAGACATGCAGTCAGTCAGACAGACAGGCAGTCAGACAGACAAGTAGTCAACAGTCAGACAGGCAGTCAGACAGACGGACAGGCAGTCTGACAGACAGACAGGCAGTCAGACAGACATACAGACAGGCAGTCAGACAGACAGACAGGCAGTGAGACAGACAGACAGGCAGTCAGACAGACAAGTAGTCAGACAGACTGACAGGCAGTCAGACAAACGGACAAGCAGTCAGACAGACAGACAGACAGTCAGACAGACAGACAGGCAGTCAGACAGACAGACAGACAGACAGACAGGCAGTCAGACAGACAGACAGGCAGTCAAAAAGACGGGCAGGCAGTCAGACAGACAGGCAGTCAGACAGACAGACAGGCAGTCAGACAGACAGACAGGCAGTCAGACAGACAAGTAGTCAGACAGACAGACAGGCAGTCAGACAGACAGACAGGCAGTCAGACAGACAGACAGACAGGCAGTCAGACAGACAGATAGACAGGCAGTCAGACAGACAGACAGGCAGTCAGACAGACGGACAGACAGTCAGACAGACAAGCAGTCAGACAGACAGACAGGCAGTCAGGCAGACGGACAGGCAGTCGGACAGACAGACAGGCAGTCGGACAGACAGACAGACAGGCGGTCAGACAGACAGACAGTCAGTCAGACAGACAGGCAATCAGACAGATGGGCAGGCAGTTAGACAGACAGACAGGCAGTCAGACAGATGGACAGGCAGTCAGACAGACAGACAGACAGACAGGCAGTCAGACAGACAGACAGGCAGTCAGACAGACAGGCAGGCAGTCAGACAGACAAGCAGTCAGACAGACAGACAGGCAGTCAGACAGACAAGTAGTCAACAGACAGATAGGCAGTCAGACAGACAGACAGGCAGTCAGACAGACAGACAGGCAGTCAGACAGACAACAGACAGGCAGTCAGACAGACAGACAGGCAGTCAGACAGACAGACAGGTAGTCAGATAGACAAGTAGTCAGACAGACAGACAGGCAGTCAGACAAACGGACAAGCAGTCAGACAGACAGACAGACAGTCAGACAGGCAGACATGCAGTTAGACAGACAGACAGACAGGCAGCCAGACAGACAGACAGGAAGTCAGACAGACAGACAGACAGGCAGTCAGAAAGACAGGCAGGCAGTCAGACAGACAAGCAGTCATACAGATAGACAGACAGTCAGACAGACAGACAGACAGGCAGTCAGGCAGACAGACAGGCAGTCAGGCAGTCAGACAGACAGACAGTCATACAGACAGACAGTCAGACAGGCAGTCAGACATACAGTCAGGCAGTCAGACAGACAGGCAGGCAGTCAGACAGATAGACAGGCAGTCAGACAGACGGACAGGCAGTCAGACAGACGGACAGGCAGTCAGACAGACAGGCAAGCAGTCAGACAGATAGGCAGTCAGACAGATAGACAGGCAGTCAGACAGACACAGCAGTCAGACAGACAGACAGGCAGTCATACAGACAGACAGACAGACAGGCAGTCAGACATACAGTCAGGCAGTCAGACAGACAGGCAGGCAGTCAGACAGATAGACAGGCAGTCAGACAGACAGACAGGCAGTCAGACAGACGGACAGGCAGTCAGACAGACAGGCAAGCAGTCAGACAGATAGGCAGTCAGACAGATAGACAGGCAGTCAGACAGACAGGCAGTCAGACAGACAGACAGGCAGTCAGACAGACGGACAGGAAGTCAGACATAGAGATAGGCAGTTAGACAGACAGACAGGCAGTCAGACAGACAGACAGACAGGCAGTCAGACAGACAGACAGGAAGTCAAACAGACAGGCATGCAATCAGACAGACAGGCAGTCAGACAGACAGATAGGCAATCAGACAGACGGGCAGGCAGTTAGACAGACAGACAAGCAGTCAGGCAGACGGACAGGCAGTCAGACAGACAGACAGGCAGTCATACAGACAGACAGACAGGCTGTCAGACAGACAGACAGGCAGTCAGACAGGCAGGCAGGCAGTCAGACAGACAAGCAGTCAGACAGACAGACAGGCAGTCAGACAGACAAGTAGTCAACAGGCAGACAGGCAGTCAGACAGACGGACAGGAAGTCAGACAGACAGACAGGCAGTCAGACAGACATACAGACAAGCAGTCAGACAGACAGACAGGCAGTCAGACAGACAAGTAGTCAGACAGACAGGCAGGCAGTCAGACGAACGGACAAGCAGTCAGACAGACAGACAGACAGTCAGACAGGCGGACAGACAGGCAGTCAGACAGACAGACAGGCAAATAGACAGACAGACAGACAGGCAGTCAGACAGACAGACAGGCAGTCAGACAGACAGACAGACAGGCAGTCAGAAAGACAGGCAGGCAGTCAGACAGACAGGCAGGCAGTCAGACAGACAGACAGGCAGTCAGACAGACGGACAGGCAGTCAGACAGTCAGGCAGGCGGTCAGACAGACAGGCAGTCAGACAGATAGACAGACAGTCAGACTGACAGGTAGGCAGTCAGACAGGCAGACAGACAGACAGGCAGTCAGACAGACAGACAGGCAGTCAGACAGACAGGCAGGCTGTCAGACAGACAAGCAGTCAGACAGACAGACAAGCAGTCAGACAGACAAGCAGTCAGACAGACAGACAGGCAGTCGGACAGACAGGCAGGCAGTCAGACAGACAGACAGGCAGTCGATTTACAAAGGTTGGTGTAAAACCAAAGTTTAGGCTTACCAGGTGAGTGGGTATGAGAAAGTCATAAAGTAACTCACCTCTTTCGTTGATCGTTCTTCCCCAGGCATTGTGGTGAGAATTAGCATCACATGCCATCACAAGTTCAGCGTTGTGTTTTCGGGCAAACTCCGTCACTTGATTTAACTCGATAGCAGGATCTGGGTTCTATCCGGAAGGATGGGCTAAGAAAATGATTTCTCTGGCCCCTGTGCATCTCTTGAGATTTATGAAGGCTGTGAACATGTCATCATTACAGTACTTTAGAAATCTATTTGCACGGCTGATTTGACCTCCGACAAATATGCCGAATTGTTTAGTTTTTTTTTTTTTGCTGCAAAAACAGATCTGCAACGTCAAATTTATAAAATATGGAGTTACCTTTCATATGTAAGTAATTTTTAATCGCATTATTGGTATTTGCTTTTTTATAGAATAAGGTACTCTATGGTAAGTGGACACTGTGGCCCATAGCCATCTATATTTTTCCCTAATTAAAATGCAGATGTATTGTCACCCCTGAGGACTAAGATGTAATGTCTCATTTCCAATAAAAAGTGTATCCGGTTCTCTACACTAACCATACGAAATAAAGTACAGTAGTATTAGGCTGCTATTTTACGCTAGTATTTTATGAGAGCGTGATATTACTTCGGTTAGGTCGAGCCAACCCGTTCGTTTTATAACCGCTGCAATGTGGCTCTAACACGTATATCTACTTCGTTTTCACGAACACGGAAATACTTGGTAGAGCCTTTCAAAGTTAAAAATTAAAATAATCATCGTGTTGTTAAGGATTTCTTTACAAACACTAACCGTTCGCTCTCATAAATTATGCAGATCGGTTGAGCAACAGATCCGAATTGTAGCTGTAAACGAGCGATACTGTAATTCTTTACTTATTTGTCGTTAGTTTATTGTTATAATTTTTGTGCGAGTTTCGTAGTGACTGATGACTGTTTTTGTGTGCGCAGATTTTCAACAAATGACAGACATTTCTGAATCGGGTAAAAACGGTATGGCTTCTTTCCCCCACTTACTTCTTGTGTTCAATATTCATGAATGCGCTTTCATATTGCTGATGCCTAGAAAGTTGTTGTTACTAAAACACAACTTAAGTAAGTTATCTGCGTCTTATGTTCGAATCTGATGTAACTAATTTGTTAGATAGGTTCGGACATGGTGCTTTTGAGTTTTATTAATACATTTATGGCACTATATCATATCAAGGCTGCGTTTAGGTCTGTAGTATTTTTGTGCTTTCTCTCTAGGTAATGACAATCTTTATTTTTTATCACACGATTTTATATTTTTCTTTAAAAATTAGTTACCTGTAAAACTTTTGAAGACTCCTAACCTTTTAAAATTATTTAAATTGTTATACCGCCTTTATCAGACACCTTATAAATAATTAATAAGAATTAAAAAAGCAAAACAGGGGAAACAGGCGAAATGTGAGGTAATGATTCCGTTAATTTTTCATAGATATAATCAGTTTGAGCTGCAGTCTTCTCTCTCGTGCGTTACACGGGGAGGTTTGAGGCACAGTGTGACAGAAATAAATTTGTGAAAAACGTATTATTCAAATGTATAGCCACCTGCGTTTACTCTTAAAAATTGTGTAAAAATACGATAGTGTTTTCCAACGTAGAAAAACACTATCGTATTTTTTTATACTATTGTTACGAGATTAGGGTTCGTGGCAATAAAAACTGTTGAATTAACAAAATTTACACTTTAATTACTGAATACCAATTAAAACTTAAATCACACTAATAATTAATCACACTTAACACTTTAATTCACTTTATTCCACTCCGAAAGCCTCGCTCGTATCGCCAATTCAATACTACCCCGATCGCGGCTTTATATAGGCTTTTTTCAACGAAACATCCAGAATATTCCAGCAAATACCGGTCCCGACCGACTAAGTGCAGAAATTTTGAGTGTGGACTTTCTAGAAAGTTTAGTTCTTCCATTCGATACTAGATGAACGACCTCGTCGTTTAGCTCCTGATAGACTCCTTATAGCTAGAAAGGAATTTGAGGAAATGTTGAAGAACGGCACAGCACGACGCTCGGAAAGCTCTTGGTCCTCAGCACTACACCTAGTACGCAAAAAAGACGATGGCTGGAGGCCTTGTGGTGATTATCGAGCTTCAAACGCACGGACCATCCCGGATTGCTACCCCTCAGAAACATACAAGACTTTGGTCATCAGCTTGCTG